TATCCCCAACCTCTTATTCATGAATTAATGCGCCAGAAACTGACTCAATGCGACGGGAAACGTTCACCTTGTTTTCAAATCCAATCCAGATTTCACCATCACAGATTTCTATGCAAAATAAAATTTAGTACAGTACCACGAAAACATTGAAAAAAATATATCTCAATATTTTACAATTTGTTTTTTTCGAGAAAAAATTTCTCACCTCAAAATAAGCAGCAGTCCTCGAAAAACGATGATCGTGAAATTTCAATCAGCGAACTTCAATCAATCGGATAATTCGCGTCCACGTACAAACCAACGACGTCAATTGCGCGGAATCTGAGCAAAATTCCACAATATGAAAAATACGATACACGAACACATACAAAATCTCACTTTTTTTTTGCTGTGTGACACATTTGCAGATGATGTTTCTGGGCCGAAGACCAGCATGGGACTGGCATTAGAAAGAAAGCGCCGAGTTCTTCATCTGAATTCTGACCTTCCATGGAAATCATTTGTCCGGGGATTGCTGCTTAAATTTGGGTCCCAGTGCAATTGGTGGCCGGGTTGTGACCGCTCATGCATGCGAAATACTGTATCCCGACCCATACAAGCTGAATGCCATTTACTGAAAAATAAAAATGGGGTAGGAAAAAAAATTTAATCCGAGAATCATGAATAATATATACGCACCGCGTCACTGGAACATGGTATTTTGAAACTGATTAACCTTACCGACTTTCCCTTGAAGCATCAAAGGGGTTGAATTCGTTCTGAAAATTATACTCGAAGAAAAAAAGGGTTAAAAACGAAATGCTACGCTTTGAATGTTGAAAATTTTAAAAGAGATCCACTTGAAATCATCAACAGAGCACGTGGATAAAAAAAAATTGTACGTTACCAAGTAATTGAACCTCCCAAATTTGGTTTTCTAATTACTGTATTTACTCAAGTACCACACACCCTCAAGTAAGGCACGCACAGGGGTTTTTCAGTTGGAAATTTGGCTAAAATCTTATCCCCACATAAGACGCTCACCTGAATTTGTAGTGGATCTAAAACCACAAAATTTAAAAAATAAAAACAAAAAATTGACTTTAACCATGAATTGAACAAAAATCTGATCAATTTTCAACTTTTTCAGTACAAAAGAGTTTTTTTGTTACATTTTTTCCAAATTTCTCCCTTATAATCAAGTATAATGCTCACATAACTTCCTAAAACTTCTTGAAACATTTGTACCCACTTATGACGCGCACCCCTTTTGAAATTTGAGAAAAAAGGTGCACCTGGTACTCAAGTAAATACGGTAATCCCAGAAAGGACAATGCCCTCAAGTCTACTTCATTTTTCAAAGGTACATTTCCGTATTAGCGTTGAAAAATTTTGAATCCTCAAGATATGCGAAGAAAGTACACGCAGAGGAAGTCTTGTCACATCAAAATGTGTCCGATACTTCAGATGGTGGAAAATGTACAAGAAAGGCATGAATTACTGTGCACAGAATCATGTAAGAGTTCATGGTCGAAAAAACGTCATGCCTCTGTCCCACATCAACTCTTGAACTGATCAACATTCAAAATACCTCCCATAACACAACGTATTTACGCGGAAACTTTCTCTTACGATTCCCAGAAGAAAAAAAAAAGAATTCTTCGAATTGGAGTGCGATTCGAAATTAGGAGAAAATTCACGTAAAATTGGGACTTCCCGAAGTGATCAATCAAACTAGGGCGTGGTTTGTACTCGATTGACAAAAATATTCAAAAAAAATGTAACATAATTCCGGCAGACAATTTTTTTCGGAGTCAGTTCAGGCGGTCAAGTCAAAAGAAATTTTTTTTTCTTTCAATCCGTGACGATAGAAAATTGAATACTCTACTGGGAGAAACTTTTCGGCTGCAAACACACAAAAGAAAGCTAGAGAAAAATCTTAAAGAAAGGAAAAGAACGAGTTTTGTTTTTCCTGGTTTTCATAAACCATCCCGTGTTCTCCTTCAACGAAACTCGACCACAGCAACATTCAAATCGTTATCGACGAAAAAAAAACAAAACAACAACAAAGTGAAAACCGTCATCATTTGCGATCAAAAAGCTGAAGGAAACTGAGGGTTGGATCCGTATCCTCCACGATCTCCGTATCCGTTGGTATTCTGAAATCCGTAATAGTTATTGACAGTGGAGTCCCAGGAGCCTTGGCGGTGATGACCACCTCTCACGTCCACTTGAGCATATTCCCGGCCTCGGAAATTGGCTTGAGCTGGTCCATCGAATCTCGGAGTGTCACTGTAATTCCTTGAAAGAGTGAGAATCAAGCATGAGTTCATTTTTAAAAACAAAAAAATTTCCGGACAGATCACTCAAAATGAATTTCATAGAGAATCACTATGAAAATAATCTTTATAATATAATATGGTAATATTAATATTTTATAATATTTTTATATTTTTTCTAATATTTTATATGGTCTCTACAATCATTCAGTAACACTGCTCCTTGCCACTAATTTTCCAGGTACAAATAATCCTTAATTGTGTTCTGAAAGTAAACCCCATTTTAGTGCCAAATCACATAGTTCCACAAAAAAATCCTCGCCATGAATGAAAAATGGGCCAAAATCTAAGAAATAAAGGCCTTTTCCAGAGATCTCATTGAGTTATTTCTGAGAAGCATGCGTCCATACTCATGTAAAACCGCAGGATAATTAAAAACATTCTATTCCTGAATTAACAATGTAAACTTTTTTTATGGATGATACCTCTTTTTATTAAATTTTTTTAATGAAGTGGGTAATTTCCCAGAAAATTTTTTGATTCCTACATGATCGCATCCGATAAAAAACTCAAACTCAAATAAAACTTCAAGAATTTCTGCTTTTTCACCAGAAAAAATGTGTGTGAAAATTTAATATACTGTCTTTTCAAATACATTGAAATACAGTAAACAAACAGTACATTTGAGCTTCAAATTACAGTACTGTCAAGCCTTGAATTAGTGCCATACTTGCAGAGTTCCACAATTTCCCTGCATTTTTTTTTCTCAAGGGGAACCCTGATATAGTGGCAATTCACTTAGTGCAAAAAAAATTTTCCTGTCCTGAATGAAATACAGGCCAAAATTAAAGAAATTAAGGCATATTTCCATGATATCATAAGGTTATCATTTAGAATCACAAGCCTATAAACAGGCTAATTTTTTAAATTATATATCTGAATTGCCATGTAATTGGGTGGTAATATTTGGATGTTCTCCACAGCAAAAAGTAACAATAACTGGAATAGTCTGAAAAAATTACAGATCACTTAACCTCATCATGAAATTGTGTACCTTCATTGAAATGTTGACACAAAACTGCAAGAAACAGATCCAATCTTCTACTTGACCCAATATGTCAAGAAATCTAACATGCAGATCCTACAGAATTACATAAATTGAAATGCAGTAAAAACAGTTCATTTGAGCATCAAATTATTTCCTGTGGCTTCATTGCTTATAAAACAGACTAATGTGGCCTAAAATTTCTGCAAGCGAGCTGATTTATTTTACCTATTCAGTATTTTGATGACAATAAATCGGGGTTTAATTTTTATTTTATTTATTTCATTCTTATAAAACAAACTCAGTAGACTAATTAACAATTCAGTGAGAAAGCTTATTTTTTCCTACAGCAGAAACCAGCCAAACTAAAACTTCCCTCAAACAATTCTCTCAATTTAGCGCCACCCTCGCTTAAAGCCAGGGTATATTACTTCATTAAATCGAGGTTTGACTGTTCATAAAATCAATTACCCATTTTCGCCCCCCCCCCCCCCCTTACCGATATTCGTAACCCGTTTCGGAATGCGGAAGAAATTCTTCCACCCTGTCTCTGCTAAAGTCACTCCATGCTCCGCTATTATTGCCACGATAATGTTGTTGACCCCGGGAGACGAAGTTGCTTCTCTCTCCTTGCCAAACCNCCCGAGACGTACTCGGCTCTCCGGCATCAGACGAATCCGTGTTCACGACCTTTCCTGGTTTCGAATACGACCGAACGTTCCAGAGGTGGTGATCGGTTTTGACTGACGGCTCCACAGGCGTTTCTTCCGTTTCCTAACGAAAAAACGAACGTTGAAAAATAAACCTTAGCTCTTTTTTCTAAATTTGGAAGGTCTTGTAAAAGGCATGGGAGTCCTTTCCATGATTAATTCGAGAAATAAAAAAACACGCAAAAACTCGATGAATAAATGCACAGGCACTGTACATCAAATGAACAATAAATGGACAAGTAGACCTTTGTTCTTCAATTTATTTTAGGGAGTCCTCATAAAAGTGTGGGTCTCATTTCCGTGATTCAAATTCAACCCATTTTCGCAGATCTGACCAAAAGTGGATCACTCATCATACAACCAGTTTTTTCACCAGAGAATACACAAGACACTGATGAAGAGATATGAATACAGCAGGACCCCGAGATGCGGACGTAATTCTTGTACTGTACAGTACTTCTTGGACTATGTCGGAACGTCCGCTTTTTGGATCATATTTTCCCAAAGACTTCAATGAATCAATGGGAACATTTTAAATCACATCTGTTCAGCAAGAAATTGGGAAAAGTCTGCAAGAAAGTAGTGCAAATAGAAAATTTTTTCCTCAAATTTAAGATGCAAATATAATTGTGCAGAAGAAACCCAAACAGAATCTACTCTTCTAGCATAAAATTGAGTCCAGAATGGTGGGGAGAGTGAAGCATAAATTGCTATAATGTACAGTGTACAGAGTTGATGAAAAAAAAACCCTCAAAAGAGAGGGACAAAATTAAGTTTGCATTTAAAAATAAATCAGAGTGAATTTAGGGGATGAAAATATTTGCTGTACAGAGATAAATCTCTGTAGACAAGATAGATTTTTCCAATTTTCGTCACCACAAATATCACACTTTTCAAGATATGTAAAAATTATGAAAAGATAATATTTTGCTTCTTTCCAGAGAATGTTGACGACGTGTCCTTTTCTCGAGACATTCCCCGTACGTCGAAAAAATCGTTTAAAATAAAAAAAAGTGTCCATAAGTCAAATCGTCCGTATATCGGGGCCCCATTGCATTGCACATACACAGATGAAGGCGACTCACGGTATTATGGAAGCGTCGCCAAAGATCCGAACACATCGAGGCCAGATGAGATCGAAGCCCACAAATGCCACAAGCAGTGGAAACTGCAAGACAATCTTTCCCAGGGTGCCTTCGACCACACTGAAAACAATACAATAAAATAAAATTTAAAAAATACGTCCCGACACACACAAGAGTGACCGAAGAATTAAAGAAAAAGACTTTAATATCACACTGTCTCCAATCGAAATACAGATTTCAACAATTTTGAACTGATCAGGTTCAATTTTAAATTTCTGCTGCACACATAAGCGTTCGTTCATCTGTTCCTGATTCTCGAATTGAAAATTTATCAACTGAAACATTCCTCAATAAAATAAAAATTTTCGAAGTCTTGCCAGGGCCGCGACTGAAAAATAAAAATCATGATCCTTACTCAAAACTTAAGGGGTTTCATCCCAAGTTTACAGTACAGTAAATATCCCGATATTTCTCCGCTCACCTTAAAGCACCGGAAATTATTGCATCGCTTGAGCTGTTCATATTGATGATCAGTCTCATCACAGAAATAACAACTAGTGCGTTTCGGAGGCTTAGGACATTCGCCGTAATTATGATCCCGACTGCCGCAATTGTCGCAG